AATTCTGACCAGGGTTCCAAATAGTGCGCAGTAAATCGCCGGATCTGCGAGGTTGTCACGCTAGGTTTGGCTCCCCCATAGCTCGGCGATCGCTGTAGATTTTCAACTAGGTTTTGAATTGATCAAAAAGCCTTGGGATTGTAGTGTTTTTCGGCGCGGTGAAGTTGGACGGCCAGCGAAGCGTTTTTGGTATCAGTCCGCGAGCAAGGGTGATGCGGTTTGTCGCCTGATGACCCAAATAGCTGCGTTCTATGTGGAATTTCTAGGGGTTCGCGTCACCGGATTTTGCGAAAAACTTATCGCAACAACCTATATTTTTTTCTGTTTTTCAGAAACAGGAAGTAGTAAGCTATTTCAGCATATAAGCCGTTAGCCTGGGAAAATTCGTTTTTCCAAGCAGGTCCGTTGAAAAAACTGCAAAAAACTACATTTTTCGTATCCAAAATTTACGTTTAACTACAGTTTCTACCCAAATTTTAGAGTCGACGGACAATAACCAAAATTGTATCGGAAGCCGGCTGGAAACCTCCGTTGACTGATGTAATGAGATTTCCCGGCGTACTTCTTTTGGCGGAGTTATAGCCCTTCGGTCTGAGGGTGTCCGCCGGATCCAAAATCGTGAAAAAAACTCCGGTCCGAGACCTTAAAAGCACGGCGCATGCGCAAAAAATGACGTCATCGATGACGTCATTCGTATGGATTTAAAAGTTTTTGGCAAAAGTTATCCGATTCTGACAAAAAACCGCATCATTTTGCTTTTTTCGAGTAAAAAAGTCCGTATATTCGTGCCCAGGCCCTACGGCGCCCCCCTCCCCCTTTCCCGCCCCCCCCCCCGAAATCCCCGTCAGGGCAATTTTAATCGTTTCTGGAAGGTAAACAGTTCTTGCATGAATTCACTTTCTATGTCATTTTATATGAGTCGACCTCTGAATTTGACTTTCGTATAATTTCGGCGAAGTTTCTCTATTTATGGTTACTTAAACTGACATTTAACAGCAAAATCGAAGTGTTTTAAGCCTTCTTAAGGCAAAACTGGGTTTTCTGATGTTCGGTTCAGGGCTCCTTAGATTCGCGACTTTCTTTCCTTTGGGTGGTGTTAAGTGATAGCCTAATAAGTACTCCTCACATCTTTACAGCGTTTATTTCAACTTCTTGCTCCTAGCCACGGCAATATCACCCAGATTGTGTTTTGCACCTCGTAATAATGCAGCCTTTCACACATTTAAGGAGCGCTTTGCTACTTTATAGGCCATTCACGGCAAAGTAGTGAAGAGTTTGGTGTCGGACGCGTTTGATTCGGAAAGTGCGAACCCTGGTCTATCATTCAAGGTCGAAATCTGACGAATTCTTCCTTTTACTTTAAAGCGACGAACCTAAAACGCGACCCCATGCTGTTTTCCCAGGGGACCCAATGACGTCACTGCGTGACGTCATCGATACCAACTGTTAAGAACGTTTTCTGCAAGTTTGCGGCACCGAAATCACGAAAAGAACACATATATCCATAGCCAAGATCCAGAGCAGACTTTAATTTCCGTTATAACTGTTTTGAGAAAAGCGATGTTTGAAATAACGGTATTTTTCTAATTGCCCCATTGTGACGCTGCCTGGGACCCGAGACTTGGCAATATAGCCTTAGAACACTGCATTTTTCACATGACTTTAAACCTCTGCCGCGGGAAAAGTACTCATCGCAGACATGTGAAATTTGGATATATGATAGATATGATGTTTCTGAAGAATTATGATAATTTTTTATGAAAAATAATCTCCTTAAGGTTCCGGGTCGGAGTTTAATTCTGACCAGGGTTCCGAAATAGTGCGCAGTAAATCGCCGGATCTGCGAGGTTGTCACGCTAGGTTTGGCGTCCCCCATAGCTCGGCGATCGCTGTAGATTTTCAACTAGGTTTTGAATTGATCAAAAAGCCTCGGGGTTGTAGTGTTTTTCGGCGCGGTGAAGTTGGACGGTCAGCGAAGCGTTTTTGGTATTAGTCCGCGAGCAAGGGTGATGCGGTTTGTCGCCTGATGACCCAAATGCTGCGTTCTATGTGGAATTTCTAGGGGTTCGCGTCACCGGATTTTGCGAAAAACTTATCGCAACAACCTATATTTTTTTTCTGTTTTTCAGAAACAGGAAGTAGTAAGCTATTTCAGCATATAAGCCGTTAGCCTGGGAAAATTCGTTTTTTCCAAGCAGGTCCGTTGAAAAAACTGCAAAAAAACTACATTTTTCGTATCCAAAATTTACGTTTAACTACAGTTTCTACCCAAATTTTAGAGTCGACGGACAATAACCAAAATTGTATCGGAAGCCGGCTGGAAACCTCCGTTGACTGATGTAATGAGATTTCCCGGCGTACTTCTTTTGGCGGAGTTATAGCCCTTCGGTCTGAGGGTGTCCGCCGGATCCAAAATCGTGAAAAAAACTCCGGTCCGAGACCTTAAGTTGAATACCATTTAGTTTTCAGGGAAAAACCTGTTTAGACGATTTTGGCCAATAAAATCACATTAATGACGTCATAATGACGTCATATTACGTCATAACGACATAAAAATTGTAGATATGATAAATTTTTACTAGTACACCATTCTCTTAAAATTTGGTGGTCATACGACATACCGTTCGCGAGTTCTTAGGGGGGGGGGT